CTCCAAAACCCCAAAACCCCAAAACCCCAAAACCCCAAAACCCCTATATTTCTTGAGAAAATTGATATGATAATAATAAAAATGAATTGAGCAAAATATGAGAAAGAGCAAAAGGAGAGTATCCCCAAATGTCCTAATAAACCTAACATAAGGTTTGTTGATATTGGTTCATGGTTTATAGACCAAGAAAAGTCAATTTCGTGTCATATTCCCAGAAAGTCATCGGATCCTTGCCTGATATTATTGAGGTAGAGGATAGTAATAGTACAAAGTAAGTTAATAGGCTATGTCAGTCCAACCACTTCCTGGATTATGCCCCACATGTTGACGGTATTCATAACAAGTCTAAGCTTCAATGCGAGGTTTTCTTATATTTTACCATGTGCCTAAACCAGGATAAATTTATTAAAAACTTCTTGATATTTTTATACATTTGTAAACCTTGTCTTAACCTCAAGTTCACCTTAAACCTCTACAATGATAGTGTTTACTAAAATTTAAAACCTAAATTTCCTTCCTCGTAGAGGTTTACATCAAGCTTTCGTACTGTACTTACAAGTCGTATAAATTACTGAAAGTTGTCTATTGATATTAAGAGCCTGGCTTATTTACATTCTCATTGTATTCATAGTAAGAGTTCAGAGAGTTTCTCTCCCATATTCATTTTAAAGGGCTGAGGTGGACACTTGAGAAATTGGGCTTGACTCTATTAACCAGTTAATAGCTCTGCTCTGGACTAGGTTAGTTTAGATAGACATAATAAAGTAGCCCAGAGAAAGCTACAGTTGGGTTATTTAAAGCAGAATCTCTTAAGAGAATGTTGGAAGAATTAGCCTCTTCAGTAAAGACTTATGACTCTAATGCTCTAAGACCTGGGATTTAGGGAAAAGAGTAGAAGAGGAATAAAAGCAGGAGCAATTATGAATCATACTGAGAAGAATTTACTGAAGGTCTTGTCCCAAGACCTTCTGAAAGATCTCGAGGATATTCCTCAGAAAGAATTAGAAGAAGATACTAATTCAGTTGATGACTCTGATGATGACTATGATGATGGTAAAGTGAAGGGATTTAGAGGTGGGTTGGAATTTAGTTGAAGGTTTAAGGCATAATGAGCGAGTTATTTGGGAATAGTTTTGAATTCTAAAGATTTTTTGTACAAGCTTTGTAAATAGTAATGAGTTTGAGAGAATTTGTTCATTTTTATGAGTGAATTTAAGTAAAATACTTTTTGGTGAAAGAATTAAATCATTTAACTTATTATTTTGAAAGTTTAGCATCACACTATTACAAAGTGCAATTATAATTATATTTTCCAGAAGTTCACCAACTAGTGACTAAAATTCTGAGAAGTAGGAAATTTCCTATATAACCGATCAAAATTATGTAAACTACTTTATTCCTGATTGTTCAACCTAGTTCACTTATCCTATAAATCTAATAAGACTATATTTAACTACTTTACTATCTCTTTCCTTTAACCAATTCTTTGTAGGAAGTCAGATAATTCTAAAAGAGAGGCCTCTCAGTGAGGAAGAAACCAAAAAGCCTGAGGAGTCATTTATCACAAACCTATCATTTAGTAATGATAAGAGGCTTAACCTTCAGTCCAAAGGTGACTATAAGAAGTTTCCCTTCTTGAGCACATTATCAAAGAAACACTATTCTGCAAACCTACAATACTTGAGATAACTTGAAGGATTGCCGTCTTGTTTGACTGGTTAATATCACAATTTGTTAAGAATTTTTCATAGCACTTTGTCCTCAAATTATTATTTAGTAACAAAACCTGGGTTTAAGGTTTATTCTAGAATGCATCTCTTATAGTTGAGATATTAGCAAGACCTTACAGCCCAGAATACATAGGAATAGGTCACTTCTGGTACCACTTTAAATACAATAGTACTTCAACCTAACCAGTGATAATCCTTATGAGAAATATGATTTGCATCCTCAAATTATCACAAAAGTGTATCAAATGTTCGCCAATAGATTTGAGAGTACTAATCTTGTCATGCTTTAGTAGTTTCAACTTCTTTTCCCATCTATTGATATTTTCCAGTTTCGGGGTAGCTAATTACATCCCCTTTATAGTTGTAAAATCCGGTTTCAACAATGCATAGTATATTTGGGGTTTTGGGGTTTTGGGGTTTTGGGG